ATATGAATAAAAGTTGAAATTAATTTATTATTTAATATTTTCACGTCGTGCATTTGATTTCTAAATACTCAAAATTACAATATTATGTATCTGCATAACTTTAACTTGTATAAAAGTTGTAAAAAACAAAAATAAATTTTTTTCTGAAATTAAAAAAATTTCAAATATATCTTTGAAAAAAAAAAAAACCCCCTATCCAAAAATTTCAGGATCTTTTAAGATCATTACAAGGTATCATACAAAAAAAATTGAGCCAAAATTTTAATGGCGGTCTTTATTTTTGACAATTTTCAAAAATTCAAAATTTGACAAATTTGACATTTTTCGAAATTTTTTTTCAAAATATTTTTTTTTCAATAGCCCCAAATGTCCCCTTTTAAACAAACAAAAGCCCATTCCTGTATCTATAATAGCATTCGAGATATTGCAAAAACAAAATTAAAAAACTGGAAAAATCGCGAAATTTTGAATTTGTATATCTTTCGAAAAAAATTTTTTTATTTTTTTTACCTTCGGCAGAACTTCGTTTTATGATAAAAGAAAACTTCTGACCAAAATTCATCCAAATCGAAAGGGGTCGATTCCAACTAGTGGTCGATTTGACATGGAATGACCCATATGGACATCATAAAAATATTCAAAATAGCTTTTTAGGATCTCCCGACGTAGAAATCCAATTAAAATTTAACTTTAAAAAATCGGAATGAAATAACTAACTTCCTAATTTTTTAAAATGATTAATTTTCATAACGGGAAGTTAAAAATTTTTTTAATATTACGAAATGACTAACATAAACACAAATAAGATCATTCGGAAAGAATAAAACGATAAACTTTGACCCAAAAATTTGATGCAACAGTTTTTAGATTAAACCAGTCTACAATTTGTTTTAGATAAACAAATCTTGAGGCCACGCGTTTTAAATTCAGATGATAAGAATATTTTTTTATTTTTACGAATAAAATATTATTATGACAATATCCAAACGATTGCATCATTAAAAAACTAATACTTTGTAGATATGAAGACATCAGCCAAATAGGCGACCAATTAACGGATGGCCCAGGTGTAGGACTTCTTTACAGCGAATATCTAAGACTCGATAAAATTCTCTCAGCGCAACGACTTCTTAGTGCAGAATACAAAAAAGAAGTTCACGATGAGCACCTTTTTATCGTAACTCACCAAGGTACCTTTAAAAAATTACTATTTTAATAAAACTCTATTTTTATTTATTAAATTAATTTTTTAACAGCCTACGAGCTTTGGTTCAAGCAAATAATCTACGAGCTCGACTCTGTTCGGAGACTGTTCAATTCAGAAGCCGAAAATGACAATTCTTATGATAATAATAAGAAATTATCGGAATATTTGCGCTTAGATGAGACGCAAACATTAGAAATCCTCAAAAGGCTGAACCGCATTGTCCTTATACTCAAAGTAGGTGCAATAAATTAATTAAAAAACATAACAAACAAGTAAACATAAACATAATTTTAAAAGATGACACTGACAGTGAAGACCAGCTCTGAAGAGTTGAATGAACTCTGATGACAAGCCAATTAGTTATGGGATTTGCGGTGGCGTTTTTATAAAGGGGTTGTAATTGAATTAGCACCCCCGACAAATCCTACTTGCTACTTTTTTGTTGTTACTTGTGTTTTTACGTACAGTAGCAACTATTCAAGTGGGTCAAGGCTTAATTTGTCTGGTCTTGTAATCTTTTTGCTTTCTTAGATGTTATGTATAAGACGTCTACTTGAGTTAGATACAATCAATAACTAATGATGTTCCTTCGACACCTGCTTATTTGTAGAGTCTAAAACCTGTAAGATAAAAACAGTTATTAGAGTTATTATGGCTTGAAGTAAGAAATTAAAATAATAATAAATTCAATACTCTGTAATATAAGTAATATAATATTTTGTAAAGGTATTACCACACGTATGCCAACTTTTATTAGCTAACAATCCATAGTGATATTTACGAAACCACAATCCACAAGATGTGGTTTAAATACCTTAAGGTCAATAGACTTGAGATAACGTGAGAATAAAATATTCTTCCCGGTATAAAAATTTTGAATTTGGAATTTTTTTTTTTTTATTTTTGTCAGTCTGATGTTTCACTCAGTTAAAATTTTAATTTAATTATTAAAATTATTCTAAGAAATCTCTGAAATAAAAAAAAAAAATGATTTTTATAAATAATGTTTTTATTTGAAAGCTTTTAGTGGATCAAGTGACTATCCTAGAGACTATGACACCGCTGGACTTTATGGATTTTCGTGATTACTTATCACCAGCATCCGGCTTTCAGTCACTACAATTTCGCCTGTTGGAAAACAAACTTGGAATTAAACAGGAGCATCGAGTTAGATATAATCAGAACTATACTAAAGTTTTCGGGAATGATCCTGAGGCTATTGAGGCAATTAAAAAATCTGAGTGCGAACCAAGTTTGAGCCAGTTGGTTCAAGAGTGGCTTTCACGTACACCTGGACTTGAGGAAAATGATTATAACTTTTGGGGAAAGTATCAGACCGCTGTCGAGCAGATGCTTGATGAACAAGAGATGATTGCTCAGGTAATTTTTTTAATCATTAAATTTCGTAACAAAAATATAAAAGTGTAATTAATTTTTTATTTTTTTGGTATTTTTTAATTTGGTTTTTTTTGCTATTAAGCTTTTATGTGTTATAAAAATAACTTTTATTTCAACAATTACTCATTAAAAATAATTATTTATGAGAAATCCGGTATTTTACCACAATTAGAGTAAAATCCCAATTTTGATAAAATTACTTACAAATAACGTATACAAGGTCTAATTATTTCAATTATTTTTAAAAACATTAATTACTTAACATGATTAATATTTAACTAGCAATCTTGCAATCACTATGTGACTACCGTGGCTTTTTAATTATAAATAAATAAAATTTTGTTTTATTAAATAATGACTTTTGTTAAATTGCACTGTACTTTCTTAAATATTGACGTTATTAAAGATATAAACTCATCCCGATGTTACACTCATCAAGAGCTTTCATTTGAATACCTACATGCATTTTGATATATATTTCATATATACATATATATATATAATATATATAAATATATGAAAAAATGATGTGGGTACTTAAATGAAAGGTCTTGATGAGTGTAACATCGGGATGAACTTATATCTTTAAAAATGTCAATAGTTCACAAGATACGAGGTTATTTCTTAATTATGTATCTAGAGATAGAACATTTTTGAATGCAGACTAAATACTTATCATTATCATCATAAATTTGCGATTGATGAGAATGATATGAAACCATGAAAAGGCACAACTCCAGGTCAAGACTTTTCCAATAATACCAAATTTAACCATAAAAACCCATTTTATCATATAAATACACTGAACGCAAAATTTTACTTATTCTCTTAATAATATAGATAATTAGTATATTATTTATAATTTAAAGAAACAAACTAAAGAGAGTGTACGTACTCATATGAAAGCAAGTGTTGCTTCAAGAAAAGCTGTCTTTGAATCAATATTCAACCAGTCTCTCCACAACGCTCTGGTATCACGAGGCGAAAGACGATTCAGTTATCGAGCCCTCCAAGGTGCTGTTATGATAACACTTTATCGTGATGAACCGCGATTTAGTCAGCCTCATCAAATACTTACAGCTCTAATGGATATCGATTCGTTAATTACTAAATGGAGATGTAAGTTACATCCATTATCTATAATTATAATCAACAACCACCACACCTATAACAAGTGATGCAATATTAATTTTTATCAATGGATAATAATATTAATTATTATTAATGACCGTAACATTTCAGATAACCACGTGCTTATGGTTCAAAGAATGATTGGATCTCAGCAATTAGGAACGGGTGGTTCTTCTGGTTACCACTACCTTAAATCAACTCTCAGGTAAACAGTTGATATTATCCTTTAGTGAAGATAAAACTATATGTAATAATAATAATTAAATATGAATAACATTACTTTACAGTGACAGATACAAAGTATTTCTTGATCTATTCAATCTCTCAACGTTTTTGATACCGCGAAATCTAATTCCGCCGCTAACAAAACAGATGAAAACAAAGCTCTCGATAGCCTTGGGCTGTTTGGGACTTGAAGACGAAGTATCTGATCAGAACGCTTCCGAAAGTTCTGTTGAAGAATCTCTCTGAGGAATAAAAGCTCATATTTAGAAGCCTTGAGGTCTAACTACTTCTACTACTTCTGTGCATACACGTTCTCTTAAAGTTATTACTTTTTATTTTGTTCGTAAACATTTATGTTTAATACTATGGTTTCTATCTCAACTTCTCTAACAATATATTTAAGTGTATAAAAAGTACAAATAGTTGTTTTAAATCCAGTAATCTCAACAGAAATTCAATGTTCTTGATTGTAGACCATTTAAATAAATATTATTATTGTTATATATTAATAATTAAAGCTACCAAATAACATTTAAAGATGATACTTGATTTGCTATTCCTGAAAATAAAATATTATATTTTTAAGTATCTTCTGATAATAATTATCGTATAAAATATTTTTCAATCTTATCATTATCAATATTTCAATTTACAAATAAAGATAATAATATATATAAACTGTACCAACCACATAAATTATTTCCTATTGCTATATAAATATATCCATCATTGCCAAACAGAGTACCCCATGAATTTCTAACGATGTAATAAGGTATTTTTCCGGTGTTATCGTACCCTACTATTTGTACTGCATGATTTAACATTTTAAATGAACCGTCGCAGTGAAATTGTATTATTCCACCTAAATAATTTTGCCAAGTAAGAGCATTTACTGCCACTGCTACTGGTCCGTGATTAACTAACACATCTAGCAGTTGATCTTCAGTATTTATGAAGCTAGAAAAAAAAATATATAACTTTTTATTTCTTTTGTTTTTCCACTAATGGTTTGAAAGTAGGACTCGACTTATTTCGGGCTGTGAAAATACCTGTTCGCAACATTATTGATAACTTTTTTCCAATTGTATATTGAACAGTTTCACTGAACTTGATATATGTATGTATAAAAAAATATATTGCAAAATCTCAATTTCCAAGTGAGTTATGAGTTCGGAACTTTTTTAAAACTTTAAATTTCGCAATATACTTCTTACTATTCAATACGCAAACCAATAAAACGATTGAAAAAACATAAAAAGTATTTTTATAGACCAAAGTAACCACCCACTGCATTTATTCATCGATATTATTAAAATCTTGATTTAAACTTTTGCGTAAGTCGTAATTCGAGATGACTCTCGGCATATAAAGTAGATAGAAAAAACGGAGTAATTTACTCACCTATCACATGTAAAATCAGTAACTCGAACTGTTGATTTTGCTGATCTAAAAATAAAAAAAATTAATCCATCAATGGATTAGTTACAAGGTGAGTGAATTAATTAATGAATGAACATTAATTCATTGTTTTACCGCTCTAGTACGCAAGTGTCCGTTTTTCCAGTTACCGGATAAAAAGACTCTGTTGAGACAGATACTTTATTGTCTACGAGCCAGGACAGTAGACTGCAAATGTCTCCTCCTTGACAACCAAAATTATTGTTGCCAGCACAGTCAATCATCTATTAATAAAAAAAATTAATTAATTGAAAATCACAATTATTTGATTAAAATCATTTCAAATCATAAAATTGATCCTGTTTGTTACACGTGTACTTTATTATAAACTTATGTATATATTTTTTATTCGGCTATTTGCCTTGGCATAAAAAATTGAATAAATAAAAAAAAATAAAATAAATTATATTTGTTAGACTTAAAAAAAAAAAAAAAAAATTAAATCAACCTAAAATATGTTGTATAAATTTCATTTCAAGCCGTCAAATAGTTTTTAAAATATAGTAATCACCGTCTTTTAAAGAAAAACTTTTGAAGAAAACGTATTTAAAGTTTATAACTCAAGTTTAGCGTATAAAAATAAATTTCAACTTTTCTTAAATTATCCATTGAATCAACTTGCAATTTTAAAAAAATATTTTAAAAGTACTGAACTTTTAAAAATTTGACTTTTTATAAGTTCTGACCTCAGAAAGTCCTTACGTTAAGATAGACAAATAAAAAAATTACCTCCTGGACACTGTAGGATGTAAGTGTATGATTTTTGATAGCAATCATTGATTCAATACATTCGACAGTACTGTAAGCCCAACAAGCTCCACAATTTCCTTGACTTTTAACCGGTGTAACAACTCCCTTCGTTCTCCAGTCAAGTCTCTTAGGTGGTATTCTTACCGCTCTCTCGTAGCGTATTAAATTACCTTCGGCACTGGAATATTTTTGACGCATAAAACGGTCAATTCGATGTCTTGCAGCACGAGTTGATAAATCTTTACGTAATGCCAGCTTTAGAAATTCATCCTCTGACAAATCTGAGTACTTTGTTGGCCCGTAGTAAGCACTCTCCGGTGATGTTCTTAATTTATTCATCTTCTCGATCCCTCGAAGCGAAACCTATGAACAATTAAATTTTAATTAATTCTATTTATATTTATTTGTTATTTCTAGTTATTAATCAATAGAATTAACTTACTTGAAAATGTTTAAATCTTTTATCATACTCAATCGGATCATGACGGTAAGATTTATTGTAACGCAAAATGTAAGTCTCAAATAATCTCAGATCATCATCAGTTGTGTCTGATGATGGCACTTTGATAGGTATAGCCAGAAAACAAAGGCTTATCATAAAGACAGACAGTGCTACCGTTCTCCACTCCATCGTGAATGGGATTCATGATCCTCTGTTAATATAAGTAAGTCTAAGGCTTCCCAGACTGTACTTAACTTGTGAGCAGATATATACTGTCTTGCAGTAACTCGAGTATTTTCACTGCACTACTAAATTATACGTCGGTATTATACATATATGTTGTAAAATATTATTAAAAATACATATCAATTAAATGGACAATCGCATCACTGTGTACCTAAACGAGATTATCAATTAACGTTATAGCAATAAAGGGGAGTTTATCTAATAGATAACGATAATAAACTCGATTTTTCTTTAAAATTCATAAAATTTTATAAATATTTTAAATAATTAACAGTGAAATAAACAATTATTGATAATTTATTGAAACATCCACCGACTATAACATTATATTATTTTAAAACGCAAGTTAACCATTTAAACAATAATAATTATGAATAATATCAAACACACTTACAAGTTGATGACAAAGTGCTTAAAATCTCATAGTTTATACTTATAATAATTAAAATGTAACTTTTATTTAATGGTTTAAAATATTATTAAATATTCCCTTAGAGCCAGTGTCAACATAAGTGCCAAAAATGTTAAATAAAGTTGTAATTAATCAAATAAAGATCATACCGATATGTGAGTGTGAATAAAATTTATCAAGTTGTTTCACAATATTTTTTGTACTGCAAGTATAATACACACCAACACACACGTACACAAAAGTTCAACAGTCACACATACAAAAAATTTCATCAATAATTTATAAGTATTTTCGTAATTATTAATATTGTATTGCTAAATAAGATATATAAGACTGAATTTAAATGATGAAAAAATTTGCTAAAAGTTTTAGAAATTATGTAATTATATTGTTGCACCAAATTTGAATAATTAATTATTTAAATGGCAATATAACATAAATCATTATAATTACCATAAAAAATGTATTTTTTAATGCAATAATAGTTGAGAATAATTTGCTGTTTATGATTAAAAAAATTAGTTATTTAAATAATTTATAATAATAATTATTGAGCTTGAGTTTGTTCATAAATTGAAACTTAAGATTTATAATTTTTAAATGCTCAATTTAATAACCACAATATTTATAATAAAAGTTTTAAAATGTGGTCATTAAAAACGATACGAAAATTGTTAAATCTTAAAATTTATCATTTATAGTTTAAATATTATTTTATAAATCCTCAATTAGTATCAATATAGTATATATTATGTGTATATATTAATATTTGTGTCGATTTATTTGATCGAACGATTGTATTATAAAAATTACATTTGTAAACAGGTTTTAGAACAAAATAAATAAAAAAAAAAAAAAAAATTTATATATTATTATTGTTGTTGTTAGTATTATTATTATTTAAACTCACAGAAAATGAAAAAGGGTTACTGAGGAACAGGGTTCGGAGTTATTTGTTGGGTGATTTTGAGCAGAACGTTTATCAACCATCTGACAACACCAGGCATTGATGGCCGCATTGACAACGAACTCAAAGCGTTTCTCAATTCGTGGAAGGTGTTGCGTGTGAAGTGGTTTCTTCGTGACGATAAACGCATTTTGAAAAATTGATAGTACACAAACGGTGTTAGCAAACCAGCACGCCCACTAAAGAAAGTCATTTAATTATCAGATTTAATAATTTACAGTGATAGCAATTATTACTTTTTGTTGTTTATAATATATAACATTAGGATGTGCCAAAATTCAACTTCCGTGAGGGACCTCTTAAAATTGGAATTTTGAGTTCCGATTTTAAAAGAAGTTGTGTTTGGGCATTTCCTGACATATTTTGAGCGTAAGGGATTTATTTGATTATCATAGAATTTTTTAACAGGAATTTTGTGTAGGCATTTTTCCTGAAATTTCGAAATTTGGCTTAACACAACTTCTGTTAAAAAATTATATGAAAATTAAATAAATCCCTTACGCTCAAAATATGTCAGGAAATGCCAAAACACAACTCCTTTTAAAAGCGGAACTCAAAATTCCAATTTTAAGGGAGGGAAGTTCATGTAAAATTTTCGAAAAAAAATCTCGAATATTGACGAAATTATAGCTAATATAATGGAGCGGGCCGAGTGCGTATTGTAAAGGAGCGAGCAACTTTAAACGCAATTATCTCGAAATTGTATTTTTAAAAACTGCTCGTGTTGTAACTCAAAAAGTTATCGACCAATTTGTCTGAAATTCGGTGAGGCCTTTTTCAACATTATTGTCGGAAGGATAAACCTAAAATTTCAAATATTTTGCGTTGACAAAATACTTTTTTGCGGTCAAAAAAATAGTCCCATATTCTGACTTTTTTTTTCAAAGGCTATTTTATAATTAATTTTATCCTTTTTTTTCTTTTAATTTTAGAGGTTTATCCTTTCCATTAATATGTCCTAAAAAGAAAAAACACTTTAATTATTTTGATTCACGTCGACATTTAAGAAAGTACAGTGCAATTTAACAAAAGTTATTATTTAATAATGCAAAATTTTATTTATTTATAGTTCCAAGTCACGGCAGTTACATAGTGACTGCAAGGTTACTAGTTATAATTAATTTTGCTTCCACATAATTACCAAAAATAAGAATGAATGTTCACCTATCAGAAATAACAAAACCATCATCATTGAAAACCGGTATGGTATGCTGAGGATTTACTTTTAGATAATCATCTTTGAAGTGATCCTTCTTAAATAAGTTTATTTCACGTAGATCCAAATCTAAACCAATGGCCTTGGCAGTCATGCGAACGGCGGAACTTGGAGGGCTCCAGATACCGAAATACAATATCGGTCGTACCATGTTGTTACTATGCCTCCTACAACAATAAGATATTATATATTAACACTAGTTAATGTGTGTGTACAAGGTACAACATACCTGAGGGTCTTATATTGGATAACAGATAATTCATACAACCTTAACTTGTTGAATTGAACTAGCGAAGAGAAGATAAGACGATTATATCGCAAATCTGTCTGTTCTAGTATGTTGGTTCTCTATATATAATATAATTCCAAGAGAAAGCTATTTCATTAAATATTGTCTGGCAATTAGAATGCGTTCGCGTTTCTATTTAATAATTTAATCGTATCAGACAAAAGCCGGCTTTTATTCGACTGAATAAGTCAGCACTCCAAGCGTAACTCGTCGAGATACAAATAAAGAAGACGTTGTTGTAAGAATAATGATTAAAACATTTATCCTGAGTAGTGAGATAAGATTTTTCGGGCATCTTCGGTCATAATAAATTTCTCAGCTAAATATTTAGTGCAGTTCTCTTCAATTTTTGTGCTTTATTCGCAAATAAATACTTGTGACCTTGTTAAAAGGTCAATGCGCTAATATCTAGCGGTGATAAATCGAATCAATCGTTACGCTGAACATCTTGGTCGCAGGAATTATAAATAAGTCTCTAGGCAAATATAAAAATTAAATTACAATAAATTTTTTTTTTTTTTTTTTTTTTTTTTTTTTTTTTCAATAAATTATTCTACTCACATGAAAGCTGCATTTTATAAACAAAGATCATTTCACTTTAAAAATTTATAAGATTATCAATAATAACTAGCTTTTGAACTTCGTGTCGATGCAATTTAATCATCTAAACATTTTTTGCATATTTACTCACCAAATATGGTATGAAGGCTCGGCTAAAATGATTAATGTTTGATCAGTCTTATGTAATATATCAATATTTATTTAATGATTAAAAATAATGTTGATTAATTGCAAAATCCGACTTACCTTAAAAACATCTCAGAAAATGAATACATCTAAATTAATTAAGTATAATCTTGCAGTTGGATAAATAATTGTAATATAATAAGCGAATGAAAAAAATTGAATATAAATATTCTATGAAAGTTGTTTGAGAAATATATAAACATATTTAAAATACCATTCAACAAATCTATGATGATATTCATTGCAAATTATACAATTGAAAAGATAATTTATATCACATTTAATTATATAAAATCTAATCTATTCATCTAAATTTTTGAATAGTTATCACTTATCAATTATAAATAGTTAATTAATAAGTATTTACAGTTATAAAAAATAAATATGACAGGTGTTGATAAAGAAATGAAGATATAACATTTTATTAGATTAACTATGAAAATATTTCTTTACAATCCCAGTTAAAGTTGCTAACAAATAATAAAAATATTCAGTAAGGTAGTAGACCCATTTACTGACACCGGCCTATTTGTTTGACACTTGTGATTTTATTTTAATTAAAAAAAAATTAACTCTACTAAATTACTAAATATAATAACCTGTATAAAACTGGGTCTTATACCCTACTTTGATAACAGAAAAAAAAGTTTTCTCATATTTCTGATTTAGCTACTTGTTAAAGATTTCATTATTTTGAAGAATTTAGTTACGCCAGGAACGTTAATTTCAGCGTAGCCAGGAATTTCGTTTTCGCACTTATTCAACCAGGCAACAATATTTTTGTATTTATCGAGCGATAATAACACCTAAAATAAAAAATCAAAGTAAGTATATTAAATTGGTGAGTGATTAGTGATTATGATTACTATGAATTGTAAGTTAATTATTAATCAGTCTTACTGGATAAGAGCTGACAGTTGACACACAACTGATGTCTGCAAGGGTGAAGTTATCTCCTGCGAGCCACTTTTTACCCTCGAGAAATTTATCTAACATTTCACAAGCTTCATGCACGAGATTAACAAGTTCTTCATTGAATTTATTTGTTTGTTTGTAAAATATTGGCCGCTAAAATTATTGGCAACAAAACGTTATTATTATCACAATATTTTTATTTTTAAGTTAATAATAAATGTAAAAACTCACAACAATATTTCGTAGACGAACGAAAAGCAATTCACCTTCGAAATGCAAACGCTGGTCAATAATTGCTCGCTTTTGAAGGTCTTTGGGATAGAGAAAATCGTCTTTAGCGTATTTACTTACTAAGTAACGTATAATTGCGTGACTGCAATAAAAAATTACAAGTGACTCTTACGTAATTCAAATGCAATGGAAATTTTCGAATTGGAAAACTAAAAAAAATGATAACAATCTTTGTTAAATTTTCTTACCTGTCCCAAAGAATGAATCCATCATCATCTATGGTAGGAATTGTATGCTGAGGATTTAACTGTGGAATAATTAACATCAATTAATAATTGAATGTAATAATCACAGGTTCTACAATGAGACAAAATAAAATCATGAAAATTAAGTTAGCCGACATTTTAAAATTTTTAGAAATTTTTTATTGAAAAAATTTTAATTGAAAAATTAAAAATAAAAATTTCACTTGTAGAAAACTTAAAAAACTTAAGTGCAATTTTTAAAAAATATTTTTTTTGGTCCAATTAAATGAATGAAAAAAAATTAGAAACGTCGGCTAACTTTATTATTATAATAAAATCTATGCTATTTTTTAATGATTGATTTTATTGTTGTACGACGTTTCGTATCTTTCAAGACTTTTTCGAAAAAGTCTAATTAATAATTATTATAATTATTACTATCAATGAAGCAAAACTAATTTTCAATTTAAAGTAAATAATTTTTATTGCCATAAAAATCATTAATTGTATCGTAATACCTTGAGAAATTGTTCCGTTTTATGCTCGTTCTTCAACAAGCTCGTTTCACGAACATCCAAATTAAGATTGATGACTCTTGCTGCCATCAAAACTGCCCTGCATGGTGGGCTCAAATCGGTCGAATATAAAATCACCATGTTGATTATTATTAAAATTCACCTGAGCTTAGATCTGTAAAAAGATATTGATTTTATTACTTGTGAATTATATTTAGTGATAAATGGTAAGTATCTTTAACTTAATTAAAAGTAATGAAACAGTAAACTTACTCAGTAGGTTCGTTGATTCAAATGATCCAGCAACCGGCATAATAAGCAATTATATACGTTTGAGTGATTGTTCGCGCAAGCGCAAACTCGGGACAGTTACGAATTATTACGCATGATAGTGATATAAAATATTAATTAAAACAATAATGTCCCGAAGGCGCGCAGTAGCCTATCGGATCCGGCCCTTGCTACCAAAGCATTGGACTGGGTTCGAGTCCGGCGTACACCAATGAATATTTTCAATATTTAAGTGTATTATTCTGCTCAGCCCAAGAAATACAAACGAGTTCCAATCTCAAAAGTTTACCCCCTACCGTAGTCGCTCATGATCTTAGTAGTTTATGCGACTTTAAACAAATTAAAAAAAAAAAAAAAAAAAAAAAAAAAAAAATAATGTCCCGTCATCATATTATTTTTATTAAATGTAATTTTAAATTATTGCCACTCACGACCTGATAAATGTTTTTTTCTGCAAAGTCATTGATAGAAGTCAAAATTGTAGAAAATGTAACAATTAGCAGGCACTTGATTCGGTATTTAATTATGAGAAATTAAGCTGAGCGACTTTAAATATAATATACTACTATGTGGAATAAGTACGGGTTTATTTAAAGCGCAAAGAATCAAAATGCAATATAGAATTTTTAACAGTATTAAGACTGTTAAAATCGTATTCATAGTGTAACGAGTACTTTGGTATAATGAGGTAAATTCGGAGTAGCTCGTCGGATTCCAGGATTCGGACGGGTTATTAGGATACCGTTCTCGTTAAAATTAATAAAATTTATTTCTGGAGCGAACAGTAATCTTTATTAACATTTAAAATAATCTCAAATACAAATATATTTCTATATTTATTTCCTCGTTCTAATTGATTACTACAAGCTAACGGCTCCGACTCAACCTGTATTTCCTTAGCAAAGGTCTACAGGGAATGCGAGGAGCTCGTGGTCCCGGCAGCGGTGCTCGATCAATGGTTGATGAGTGATAGAGCAGTTTGGGACCTCGCGTTGGAACGTTGGAGGCAGCAGACAAAAAATTATCCTGAACCGCCATTTTGAAAAGAAAAAAAAAATTACTTCTGTACTCTAGAAAGGCTCAATAAAGTTGTGTTGAAGTTTAAAAACAATAAAATTATTTTATCACCTTAAAAAATATTTAAAAAAAATGACCGATTTTGAGGCTTTTACATGGACTCCCCCCTTAAGAGGTCCATCACGGAATTTGAATTTTGGCACAACCTAATGTAACATATACTTACGAAAAGACTAGAATGATTGTAAGCGGCAATATCATGATTTCACATAATCCACAAAGTCGTAAAATATTGCTTGATTGAAACTCAACCAGGGATATCATGAGTCGAGCCGGCCAACAGCTATTTTGCCCAAGTGTCTATTAAAAAAAGGAATATCGCAAGTCATTTATTTAACTACTCGTCTGTCATCTTACACAATATATCATTATTTTGATAAACAAAAAATTTTATTTATTATTTAATAAATAAAATTTTTTTTTTTTTTTTCTGACTTACGTCCAATAGTGCGAGAGAATAACTTGCTGCATGGAGAATTGCGAATAATAAAACCGGTACCAGCACCACTGTTGTTAAATTAATAAATAAAATTAAGGAAAATATTTTTTAACCGTTACGTAAATTAAAATTTTACGACTCATTGGAGTAATTAGTTAAATTATTACGAATGAGTCGAAACAAGCCAAGCAGTATTAATATTTTTTTAAGAAAATTTTATCAGTGACAGACATTGTAAAAAATATTTGTAGTAACTTATGAGCTTAGTCATCGCTCATTATAATTGCCATGATTTACAGTCAAAAGGATACTTGTCACAGGTGACACATATAAAAATATTATGGAGTATAATAAGTAGTGACATGAATCCTCCATAAGTAAATCTTCAATAAATTGCATGTTGAGTCGAACCACTGGGACTCTTTGATGTAACCTAAGTGCGCTGGTAGCAGCAGCACTCATTAATACTTTGTAATAAGCATTATACGGATTTCTATAAATGAAATAGAACAAAATAAATTAATTAGTGATCGCGGAGATCAATAAATATCAATAAATAAATTATTAATGGGTATAAGTAAGTACATACCCAAAGACTGGAATTAAATATCCAATGGTAAATAAAATAGTAAATACTCTAGTGGCCCAAAGTCCAGCATTGATTTTATTAGCAAGTACATGTTGTTTCAATGCTCCCCAGCCCTTTTCGACTTGCTGTGAGCTGTCGGTAGACCCTGAGCTAGGACTGTCAGCCATTCTGTAATAAATAAATTTAATTAATATCTGATGGTGATGAAACTAAATTAAATTAAATTCAGTTAGATTAGAGTAGATTAAATCTAAAACAATTCATATTTAGATATGAATTTATAAACTTTGATCAACCAATTATACATTTACAGTTAGGTAGAAATCGTCAACCTAGCCCTACTTCTTGATGCTATAAACCAAGTGAAAAATGCTTACGTGTGTAAAAGTGAAATTATTAATGACCCAAAAAAATGATAATAAAGTGTAAATATCAATGAAATTAATATAATTAATTTGAAATAAGTACTTACTTGATAGCACTGATTACTATTGATAATAAAGTTTGTTGTATATAGACAACACAGTTATTTAATTCACAGTATTGCACTGTCTAATGTTATTAAATTGACTACGACAGATACAACATACAACGTGTAATGTACCTGGCTTGACTACTTCTCCAATACTCCAATACCACGACCCCGACTTCAGTAAATTGTGACAATCAGTCTCACGGTCGAGTCATCGAGTCATCATGACGACTGACAACTTTAACCAAGACCTAATTCACGATGCACACAGATGGTGCTTTTTATGTTACATCAATCGATAAGACAGATAATTATTTCGCTTCACATGTTTTTTTTTCATGCACATGTGATGGATATAAAACATTTTTAAAATAATATAAAACTAGTATACGTTGCGCGCGCAAGCGCGCGTGTGATTGTTGGTATGGAATTATCTATATTTTCATGCTTATGATATATTTGACCAATCACGTTGCGAATAGTTTGCTCTTACATGATATATTTTCATATTTTTCATCTAAATTATAAGAGTGGATATATGCATATTTTTATGATATTGAAATTAAAACAGACATCTGATAATTTTTTTAAATTCTTATAAAAATTAAGTAATTATGAAAAAAATTTGATATAAAAATTCCATATGCAGAAATTAAAAAAAAAGATCGGCATGGGTACAGCTGTATTCCGAATTTCTCAGCTCAACGCCACCTTTATTCCAAGTTTTTGGCTTCAACTTAAAAAAACAAAATAACAACTTTACTCGATACTCGCACTGCTCGAAAACAACTATACTCTGTGTCAAGTTTACTCAATACTAACTTTATTCGGTGTCATTTCGTCTCAACAATGTAACAGAGACATTTGGCAAAAAAACAACTCGACTCGCAATTTCTTTACGCAAAGCCATCTTTACTCAAAATCAGAATTTTCAGCACAAAATAGAAATGACAACTCTATTCTATTCTTTCATTACTCAATGACAGCTTTATTCAAATCCAACTTTACTTAAAACCCACTGTACTCAGTGCAATCTTTACTCAATAGTATAGCCAAAGATACAGCGAGTGCCGGTAAGGAAGATATGACTCCATTATCGTGGGGCGCTGCATAAATGTTCCTAAACTATCTAAAGATACGAAAGATACAGAGAGGTATTTTAGAATAAGTGATATTTTGATTTTTAAATTATAAATATTATTAGATGTAAAAAAAAATTAGACTGAGTGATTTTTAGTTCATACGTTTTTTTATATTGCTTAATGTAAAACCCTTGATATACTCTTTATGATGATTTTTGAATTATAAATATTTTTAGATTAAAACAAAAATTAGAATTCTTAAATTATAATAGACAAATTAAATTTTCAATTACCAAAAAGTTAATAAAATGTTTCTTCACATAAAAATCTTGGTTTATAAATACGAATTGCTATTAATGATTAAATTTATAATATTAATAAATAGCTACTCTTTAACAATAAACTATTAATTTAAATTTTATCAACTTACAAAACGAGCAACAGAACATTATTTAAAAATATATTTTATTTTATTTTTCATTACTTCCGAACTGCAATGCAATGATCTGATCTCCGGTCTGGCAAATAATCAATAATATGTTCAAATCGAAGTTCTTCATTTTTTTACATACTCCAAATACTATTACATCTTTTACTATTTCGGCCAATTGAAAAACTAGTTGTCCTTATTTGATAAAAAAAATTCAATTAATAAAAAAATGCATTTAAAAATAATAAGTTGTTTAACTTAATAATATAAAAAATCATATAATTTTATATTAATTTTTCCGTAAAATAAACAAGAGTAATAAAATAATCTTTTACTTATATTAGTATATTACGTATCGGCTCGCTTTAAATAAAATATTAAATACTGAACGAAATTAATAGATACGTCCATTAATAGATTACATTCACAAAAGAAAAGTGTTTACTTGAATGTTTTTAAAAAAAAAGACAAACAAACAAGTTAGAAACAATAATTTCTTATCACGTCCTCTACTTGTAACTATAAGTAGCGTCATAAAAATTAAATACAAAAGTCGGAATTTTGAAAATAGAATTTTTTGTTATTAAAATATAAATGTATTTACCCATTACTATCATTCAGCAATGCATGAAAAATTTTTGAAAACCATTCAATTAATAATCGATAATTTATGAATTTTGTTACCTATAAAAATTGGAAAGAATTTTTATAATTTTAAACTAAAAGGTGACTTAGTAAACAAGTTGGAAACAATCTCTCACCGCCTCATCAAACTGTATTTGAGTGTCGATACAAAATTAAATACTCTATAGACTTGTTTTTTAAATAAAAAATGTATATTTTTTTATTATTATTATTTTATTACAAGTATTTTATAAATTTTTGAAATAAAAAATTGTTTGTTTGTCTTTTTTTTTAAAAACATTCAAGTAAACACTTTTCTTTTGTGAATGTAATCTATTAATGGACGTATCTATTAATTTCGTTCAGTATTTAATATTTTATTTAAAGCGAGCCGATACGTAATATACTAATATAAGTAAAAGATTATTTTATTACTCTTGTTTATTTTACGGAAAAATTAATATAAAATTATATGATTTTTTATATTATTAAGTTAAACAACTTATTATTTTTAAATGCATTTTTTTATTAATTGAATTTTTTTTATCAAATAAGGACAACTAGTTTTTCAATTGGCCGAAATAGTAAAAGATGTAATAGTATTTGGAGTATGTAAAAAAATGAAGAACTTCGATTTGAACATATTATTGATTATTTGCCAGACCGGAGATCAGATCATTGCATTGCAGTTCGGAAGTAATGAAAAATAAAATAAAATATATTTTTAAATAATGTTCTGTTGCTCGTTTTGTAAGTTGATAAAATTTAAATTAATAGTTTATTGTTAAAGAGTAGCTATTTATTAATATTATAAATTTAATCATTAATAGCAATTCGTATTTATAAACCAAGATTTTTATGTGAAGAAACATTTTATTAACTTTTTGGTAATTGAAAATTTAATTTGTCTATTATAATTTAAGAATTCTAATTTTTGTTTTAATCTAAAAATATTTATAATTCAAAAATCATCATAAAGAGTATATCAAGGGTTTTACATTAAGCAATATAAAAAAACGTATGAACTAAAAATCACTCAGTCTAATTTTTTTTACATCTAATAATATTTATAATTTAAAAATCAAAATATCACTTATTCTAAAATACCTCTCTGTATCTTTCGTATCTTTAGATAGTTTAGGAACATTTATGCAGCGCCCAACGATAATGGAGTCATATCTTCCTTACCGGCACTCGCTGTATCTTTGGCTATACTATTGAGTAAAGATTGCACTGAGTACAGTGGGTTTTAAGTAAAGTTGGATTTGAATAAAGCTGTCATTGAGTAATGAAAGAATAGAATAGAGTTGTCATTTCTATTTTGTGCTGAAAATTCTGATTTTGAGTAAAAATGGCTTTGCGTAAAGAAATTGCGAGTCGAGTTGTTTTTTTGCCAAATGTCTCTGTTACATTGTTGAGACGAAATGACACCGAATAAAGTTAGTATTGAGTAAACTTGACACAGAAAAGATCATGTGCAAAATTTTTCAAATATTTTTTTTTATAATAATCGATGTATAGTAGAAATCTGAAAAATTATCAGATGTCTGATGATTTCAGAATTACGTATTTTTTCTCAATTTATTATAGGTAGTTATGAGGTTTCATGCAGTAACAAACCTCGACGAAGAAATAAATGTGTCGAGGGGCTGTCACTTAACGCCTATAATACATGTGTATTGTATTAATTGATGATAATGATGATGACAAATGATGCTTTTGTTCTTAATTGGCACTGGTTATTTTGCATTCGAAATTTTTTTGAAACTAAAAATTAAATCATACAATAATTACACATCAACTCAAAATAATATTGAAAATCCTTAATTTTAAAAAAACAAATTGAAAGTATTTGAAATAATGGAATTCGAATTCTCTTCAATGTTTCTAAATATTTTAAAAATACTTTTGAATTCCTTCTGTTATGAAAAATTAACATATTAAAGTTTTACGCCTATTGGTCAAGTGACTAGTAAATCTAATTCAAGCCAACGGATGGACTTTAATTTATATATACAATCGGTCGAAAAAAATAATTGATAATTAACATATTGTCAATCATTTTGAATTCTTTTTTTAAACCAGTGATAGGACAATTTTAAAAGTTGAAATAAATTAACTAATTATTTAAAAGTATTCCAAATATTCTGCATTGTCATAATTATTTGAATAAAAGTCCTTATTAATTTCATTTTTATTAATTTGAAAGTGTAACTAGATGATACACCGCGAAAAAAAATGTTCTTCTTATGGATATCCGGCATTTTTTTTTCAACTATATACAATTTATCTATATAAACATCAAAACTTTCAAATAAAATTGTGTTGTCTTCCCTATCATAAGAATAAAATCTATTTGTGTCGCTTAAATTGATGCGTCCATAACTATATAATTAATTATTAACTCGGAAAAATTTTTTTAAGAGATTCTCCGAACTTATCAGTCCAAGGTCAGAGATAAAAATTAATTAAAATCGAATTTGTCTTAATATTTATACTTTCATAACTTATAATTTTATAACCCGGTTGATTAATTTATAAATCCGTTGCGCAATTCAGAATGATTTAAGTCGACCGAAGCGATACCCAACGCATTTATTATTAATGTGACTTTATTGAAAACTCAGTCAATACTGCAGTTTCTAGTTCTGTTTTCAGTGTGTCAATTTTTCATCTTCGCACGATTTTCCCCCTGTTGTGAATCCGAAAGGATTGATCACAACGCTCTCTGTATATTATTAATCCCATAATAAAATTGAGATGAAATGTATGTGGCATCAAACTATTCGTAACGTGATTGGTCGAATATATCATAAGCATAAAAATATATGCAAACTCTATAGTCAAGGCGCGCGCTTGCGCGCGTAAATTCAAATTCTAGTCCTAATATAAAATTGAGATGAAATGTATGTGGCATCAAACTATTTGTAACGTGATTGGTTGAATTGAATATATCATAAGCATGAAAATATATGCAAACTCTATAGTCAAGGCGCGCGCTTGCGCGCGTAAATTCAAATTCTAGTATAGAATTAAATATAAAAAGATGGCTGCAATAAATGATAGCGGGAAAAACCCAGTAAGATTTAAAATATATGTATTTTATTTGTAGTAGTATTAGTAAGAAAAATAGGAATCTCTAAAATATTGTAAGCTTTTCTATTTTAAATTCTATTGTTAAGTATGGGAATTTTCTATCATAAATTTTAGGGTCTAAGTGAATTCATAATCACCGAAAATTCCCGAGGAAAAAACCTACAAAACTTTTAGTACCGATTTGTAGTCTAGACATACCGAAAAATTTAAAATTACTTTGTTAAAATAAGTTTACGTTAAATGTAATGGTCACTTAGAATAAAATACTGAACGTTTTGGAATATTCTTTACGACACTGGAAAACCCAGAGATCTTTATTTATTAATTTTTATTGCCATAATCTCTTAAGAGGCTTATCTTCCAAAATGTTCATTTAAAAAGGGATTACTCGAGTACCCAAGGCTAGGTCATAAAAACCAGATATCCAGGCGGGCTGCAAATGACCTGGAAACATCGAGGATCATCGTGACGTCATTTCAGCATGGTCCCATTTTGCCAACTCGAGAAGGGATGCTAGCCGAAGATGAGAGCTGCGGAGGCGCGCGCAACTACCCTCACTACCCTCTGGGCCTCTCCCACTCCAAAAGTACGAACATCTCAACCAGGGGAGTCGAAAACCAAGGAACAAGAAGACACTTATCAATAAGCAAGACTTAAGTACGCCACGCGAATATTTTCTTTTTCGGAATTATTGTCGGTAATTTTATTTTGTAATTTACTGAATAATAAATAATAGATTTGCGCGCAAGGCAAATCTAAATTAAACTAAAATAATCCGAGTATTTTAAATTTATTATATATGTTATTTTATTCAACTTATTCGAATTTAAATCTACTCTCCCGCCTTAATCTATTTACTGCGAGTTGAACGCCCTATCGCGTTCCAACGGGCGAATTAAAAGAACTCAATAAATTTACTATAGCTAATTTTGGGCTATACAACACCCCACTTTTAGACTACTAGCGCTACTTGTGAATAAAATTCGAACTAATAATTTAAAAATATATTTTGACAAAAACTTAATTAAGTTCGAATGACTTTTCGTATTTTTATTTATTAGAATTCAATTTTCATTAATTTTGAAAAAAAATAATTTTTTTAATTGCATAGATACTGACTTTGTATCTGATGATCCGTGATAAAAAATAAAATCTAATGAAATTCTGTTTTACCAGGTAAACAAGATAAAAATAATATTAAAAGAATATATATGAGGTGATAGTGATAGATATATGACATATACCTATTAAAGTATTGATGACCACGTGCTAAAGTCCATATCTTCATACATACAGAACAACACACGTAAACACAGTGTTTTTGTGTGAGTATGGGTTTAAGAAATATAAGTGTTTATTTAATTGTCAGTATAGTCTTACTAATGTTACCGATAATAAACGCGGTTAGATAGCATTGCACATTGGATGTCTATTAGTGCCGCATCTAAATTTTGCTTGGTAATGTTGTTTTTATAATTTTATGGTATTTATTACTAAGTTATGTTTAATTTATCGAATTTAAACATTTATTTTATTTCATTTATAATTCAGAAAATCATTAAATTTCAACTATTTTTAGAATTATAAATTTAGTTGTTTGAAATCAACAGACAGGTTACAGTTTTTTTTTTTTTAAATAAATAAATTGTTACAAAATAACATTCCAAAAATTTATACATATAATTTATTGAATTTTTTACACAAAAATTTTTTTTGTATAGAATTTTATGATTCGAAAAAATATTTTCAAAGTTATCAGATGTCATTTTTTTTAATGTAATTAATGACGATGAGAATTAATTTAGCAGATATTTAATAATTTTTAGAATTTTTTTAACAAATAAATTATGGCAAAAAAAATAAGAACAACAAATTGACATGCAGAAATTTAAAAAAATTATAAATGCAATTTTTTAGAAGTAATTTTTTGGACCAAATTTATTTATTAAAAAAAATAAAAAAATTATTAAGTGACAGCTGACTTTAATGTCACTTAATAACTTAATGACGTTAAAGTTAGCAGTCGCTTGAAAATTTTTTAATAAATAAATTTGCTCCGAAAAATTATTTTTAAAAAATTAGATTTTTTATTTTTTTAATTTTCTAAATGTCAATTTTTTTTCTCATTTTCTTTGACATAATTTATTTGTTAAAAAAATTCTTAAAATTATAAAATATCTGATAAATTAATTTTCATTGTAATTAAATCAAAAACAATTTTTATTTTTTAAATAATAACATAAAATCTAACTATCATTTTTTTTTTTTTTAATGCAATGATTATTAAAAAAGTAAAAATATTTTTACCTACTCTATTGTACTTGAAATTATAAAATTCAAGGATTGATGTAACAATTACTAAAATTTATAATTACTTAATTTCAGAGAATCATCAACTATGGAGACAGCCAAAGTTTTAGAATGGGGTGATTACCTGGTTATCACACTAACAATAGCTATTAGTGTTGGAATCGGAATTTATTATCGGTTTGCCGGAGATAGACAAAAAACATCCGAGGTTTTTACATTAATTACATACAAAAATTTTTATGAGTATGACTCATTTTATGGTGCTACAGTAATAGCCTTTAATGAATAAATTGATTTGTTACAACTCATAAAAATATATCATTTAAAAGCCAACTCTTATTTAGTAAACATATTTATCGATGCGGCTTTTTTACCTTTTTAATTAATTTAAATGGACAATGAATAACTGACTTATAAAATTGCAGGAATATTTTTCAGCAAACAGATCAATGGGACCGATAGCAATTGGTATTTGCTTAATGGTATCGTTTATGTCTGCAATAACACTTCTAGGAATGTCTGCTGAAAGTTACGATTATGGAACTCACTTCATTATTATTAATATTAATTACATTATATCTACACCAATAATTTGCTATGCATTTTTGCCGGTGTTTTATAAATTACAGGCGACAAGTACTTATGAGGTATAACATCTATCAATTACTATTTAATTTATGATTGATAAAAAAAATTATGAGAATAAATTTTGATAAATGGGTAAAACAATAAATTTATTCTGTTAAAGTACTTAGAAAAACGTTTTGGAATACACGCAAGATTATTGGCAAGCTTCGTTGTATGGCTCCAAATGTTATTGTACTCAGGTGTTGTACTCTACGCACCGGCATTGGCTTTTGAAACAACAACTGGCTTAACAAGGATGACAAGTATTCTATCAGTTGGATTAACTTGCGCTTTTTATTCAAGTATCGGAGGGATAAAGGCTGTATTAATAACAGATATTTTCCAAGCGGTTTTGATGTTTGCTTCGTTAATCGGTGTAATTGCCGTAGCTACTTATTCAGCTGGTGGCCTCGGTGCAATATTTGAGATTGCAAATCAAGGAGGTCGAATAGATTTGTTAAAGTAATGTCACTTTTTATTTATTTACTATTACTTTATTTCATAATTTTATATTCAAATGTTTTTCATGGTTTATAGCTTCTCTATTGATCCTACTGAACGTCACACGTGGTGGACTCAAATAATAGGAGGGATGTGTACATTTTTATCACTTTACGCGGTAAACCAAATTCAAGTTCAACGATTTTTAACAGTCAGGTAATTTTATATAATTCTTTAACTCATTTAACTACATGAATTTAAAAAAAAAAAAAAACATTTTTTTTTATCAAAGAAATATTTGATCACACGATGTCATTATGTCGCTGATAATTGTCACTTATCAAAACAATTATTTATTTACTTTCGTTATCTAATGATTATTTTTATTTTTTACTAATTCTATACAAGATAAAAATATTTATTTTAGTTCATTTTAACTATCCTATTAATTTTAAATAATTTTTTTATTGTTATTAGGAGTTTAAAAAAAGCACAACTAGCAATGTGGTTTTGTTTACCTATTCTCATAACTCTTAATTTAGCAACGAGTTTATCTGGATTAGCTATTTATTCAAAGTATTTTAAATGCGATCCAAAAACTGCCAAAAAAATAGATAAATCAGATATGTTACTGCCATACTATGTTATGGACGCAATGTCTGCGATACCGGGCTTATCTGGTTTAATTGTTGCCGGTAAGTTTTTTTTATTTAATTATATAAATAAATACATAAATATTTTATCTTTCTATCTGGTATAAAGCAATAAAATTATTATTATTCTATAGGTGTATTTAGCGCAGGATTAAGTACCATATCAGCAGCATTAAATTCTCTCGCCGCTGTTACTTTAGAAGATTATGTAAAACCATTATACTCAAAATGTACAAAGAAACAATTGTCACCGTCAACATCATTGTTATTGGGAAAATTTTTGGCATTCATTACTGGATTTTTATGTATAGCTCTTGCTGTGATTGCTCAACATTTCAAAAATATTCTTCAAGTGAGATTTATTACGTAAAATTTGAAAATAATTTATTTATTTTAAATAAATTACCCGCATGCAGAAATATATATGTCAAAAATATATGTCGCATATATAATATATATGCCGCATATATTTACGCAAAAAAAAATATGTCAACATATATTTTTCACATAGATGCTGACATATATGCAGAGATACATGCTAAAATATATGTAGACATATATGTAAGCATACACAAAAAAAAATGTAATAATAAAATTATCAGGAACTTGGACCAGAAAAATAACTCAGTGTTAGATTTTTAAATGTTGCAAATCTAACACTGAGTTATTTTTCTGGTCCAAGTTCCTGATAATTTTATTATTACATTTATAAATCATGGATGATAACAGAAGTCAGAATAAAAAAAAATTTCTAAGTTTGAGAATTTTTTTTACTCGAATCAAGAAAGTTAAATTCTTCAAAATTATTGACTTGATTCAAGTTAAATTTTTTTCTGTGTATCTCTAAACATATATATTGCATTTATATGCGCGCATATATGTGAACATATATGCGGACATATATTTAGCGCAAAAAAATATATGTCAACATATATATTTATATATATTTTTCGCATCTATATTTTTCCATGCGGGTAACATCAATTGTATTAAATTTCAGACTAGTTTAACAATATTCGCCGCTGTTGGTGGGCCACTCTTGGGTTTGTTTACCCTTGGTATGTTATTTGAGTCAGCAAATCAACGCGGTGCTGTCCTTGGTACAGCACTATCCCTTATGTTTTCACTATGGATGTCATTTGGTAGTCCACGTCCAGCTGCGCAGGGACTACCTCTTTCTATTGAAGGCTGCAGCAATGAAACGCTGTCTTTTCTTTATAAAAAACTCGAAATGGAACATATAACACTACAAGAATATTTACATCCTCCTATTCCCGACAAATCTCAATTTTTGTATCTTTACCGAATCTCTTACATGTGGACAGGACCGATTGGTTTTTTCATAACTATTGTCATAGGTTTGGTCACCAGTAAATTGTCGGAATGCTTCGGACTAGAGAGTCCGAAAAATATCAACCCAGATCTCTTCTTCCCTTTCATAGCCAAGCGCATTCGTAAGAGGCTTCAGACTGATAACGGAGTGACTGCATATAAATATGAATTTGAAAATAAAACGCGATGTAATACTGCTACCACGCACATGTAATTTAATTTTATTATTATTTTAATATTTATCATTGCCTTCCACAATAAGTTTTTTACGTGTTCTGTTACGATTACATTTATTAATTATTGTTTACCATCAAAGTACAAAAGTACCGAGCTATTTTTCTCTTAAATTATCTCAATAATTTTAACACTAGTTTTATCTAAAATCTGGATAGTATTATGAAAAATAATGTTGTTTTCCTTAGTGATAATCGTTTTGTTTTTTGTTATAATTTCTGTAATTAAATTGCTTTAGCCTTGAGGCAAATGTCTAATATGCTAATGTAAACATACTGGTGCTTTTTATGTTGTAATTAATGCCTGAAACTATTAGGACATCTTAATCTTGTATAATGACAATAATGGTCAGTTACTTTAACAAATTTTATTAATGTGCGTATGATACCTCGTGTAGTGTACTTAAATCACAGTTATAATTTTAAACAAAATCGCTCAACTTAGTATTCTTAGGTTAATCTATGTGGTATTTTATTAATGTTGTTATACTTATAATTGAAAAATTTAATGGTTGATTAGAATGGTGAAAAATTTTATTACTAATTAAAATATATATTTTCATAAAAATTGTTATATTTTGTATGTCAATCTCTATTTTTTCTAATTCCTACTAATGTAATAAATTTATATGGACTGATAAAAAAATTAACTTGATTAAGAAAAAAATTTTTGAGCCAAGAAAACTTTACTTAAACTGCAAAAAATTTCTTAGTTCAAGAATTTTTTTCTTGAATCAAGTTAATGTTTTTATCAGTGTAATAATAAAGGGATGAATAAAGTCATTCAACAAACATGAAGATATTTTTTATAACTTAAAGCTCTGAAATAAAAATTTTTAATCACTTTGAATTGAAATAAATACAATAGTAGTTCATTCAGATCTTTAGAAATTTCGTATTTCTTCTTGTGATTCATTAATTGTATGACTGATTTTAAATTCTAGGATCGTTTAAAACAATATAATATCTAACGAAGACGAGATTTATTGGTTTTAGTGGTAGATTTCCACGGTTTATTGTGATCACTATCAGCGGATTAGTAGTGTGTCTCCAGATTGTGATGAATAGAAATGCTGGCCCTAAAAATAATTAGTTTCAATCAAGCCAAATTAGGCTATTAATTTCTAAGATGACAATACGTCTCGGAATCTGAATGGATCCAGTGAAGTCCAGATCAAGCCAGTTTTTATTTCAATTCTTATAGGCTAAGCTATAATATACTAAAGCTTGACTCAATTCCTTCTTTTTTTTTCAACTTCTGTTTTAATAACCACAATTTATTATGTTTTTATGATATTATCTGTTAATTCATTCATCAAATAAATATTTATTATTTTTATTGTCAACTCGTGTTGATTGTAATAATAATAAATAATCAAAATAAAAAACTTTTTTTTAAGAAGACAAGTTTTATCCTCTTCAAGATTAAAAATTTCTACCTCTAATTAATTAAAGTTTTTATTATTATTATTTTAGTCTTATTAAAAACAAATTTATGACAACATTTATAAGAAATAATGAGCAGTATTAGATTATTTAACTGCAAATATATTCACACAAAGCTTATAGATCTGTGCCAAAATAAACCGGCATGGAACCAGTTTAAACTTGTAAATTTTGTACACTTACATCTCATTTTTATCTATAATAGCAAAAATCATATACTTCTTCTTTTATTGGAGAGAAACATAATACATTTACTCATAAACATACCCCAATAACAAGCATATATATAAATACAGCACCATCAACCGTTTAAACTTCTCAGGCATAAAATCGCGTTGCGAACGCATGGGAAGATTAATCGGCGTCAAGACACTTTGCGTGTCGCTAGAAATTATTACCATCATATCATCAAAACTCTCTTTCATTTATATTAACTCGTGTACAAATAATTAAATAAACTAATAACTTTCATTGACCATAAAAATTCTATTAAACAGGCTTATATTGACAAACATCGCTTTATCCCCGCATTTGATCGCGTGTGTCAGTTCCTTTAACACAGCCCATTCGACAAAAGAAAATGTAAACAAAACTATTTTCGTCTTGTTTACATTTTTATTATTTAACTTCCTACTACACCTGACTGATGAAAAATTACATGTTTTATAAATAAAGTGCCGTGTTATTCATTAATTATCACGCAAAGTTGTATCTTTAATTCGATTCTTGAGGAAAAAATTAAACTATATTTTCTGAAGATCATATTAGATTCTACGAATATTTCTCATCTTCATCATTATCGTCATTACTTTAAATATAATTGTTAGAATTTTTAGATCGATAAACGTATAAATTAATACATATGTAAGTGATGAAGAAGATATGGATGATACACTCATTAATCTCACTTTTAAAAGATTCCATTTGCGATGACTTTAGTTAATGTTTAAAATGTCATACACGTCACCCTCATCTGACATCTCTGCTTAGATTCCCTTAAATTTCACAATATCGCTTCACACAATTACTTATAAATGCAGTGAGGAAGAAGATATAGTTATGGATTTAATTTATTTAATGAAAAATGTTAAACTAAACAACATCCAGTTTAGTCATCGTTTATTATGATGGCGCAATCGTTAAATTTATTATTAAGCCGGCAGATCGATTTTTTGTGAAATTCTATGGAAATTATCGCCCTTGAGTATATGTTCTACTTATTTTTTTTTTTTTGTTACTGTTGTACATATGTATATGTACAGACAGATATAAATATACAAACGTATATTTCTACATTTCGAAGGAGTAAAACCGACAAACGACAATATTGAACATATACATCCACCACGCAACAAAAATATTAGTGGTAGGGACATATTAAGTGTCGTATAAAGGCGCATATGACAATTAAAATCATCAGTCTTTAAATTTTACTCCGGTTTAATCCAGTCGTTTGAAAACATTTTACTTAGTTTTAATAACTTTAACAATTTTTTTTTTTATTTTTGTTTCTTCTACTTTGTTTAAATTCCTCAAGTGAAAAAAGTTATTTTTTATTTTCGTTGCTTTAAAGAAATATTATTTTTATCGACTTTTAATTTTATAATTTATTTTATTTTTTGGGTTTTTTAATTTTATTAGTTAACGCGCAAATTAATGCGTTATATCAGGCAATCGAGTAAAATAATCCAATTACAGTTTCGAACATTTTTAGAAACTAATAATTTAGTGAAATTGTAAATTAATTATACGAATTAACTAAGTAGGTTTAATTTTTAATATTTATAAGTAATTGAGGACTATTTTTTTTAAGAAGGTAAGTGTTGATAATATTTTTAATTATAAATTATGAAAAATGGAAACATTAAAAAAAATTTATATAATATAAAGACCGAGTAATAATAAACTTCCGCATAAAAAAATGTGTGAATCCTGATTTTTGTTCAGATTTACTAGACCAGCGGTCTTGAAATTATGTCACTGTTAATAACAATTCCTTAAGGTCACTTGTAATGCAATAATATGATAGATTTTAAATATAAACTTTTATATATACCCAACTCCATTTAATTCGATATTTGAAATCCTATCGGCTCAAATTACTGTTTGTATATTGAATTGAATCCCTTAATCTGCTTAATAATAAATAGTAATTTTATAAATAAAAATTTAAAATTAAAATACCAGTTCTAACTAGTAACAATCATCATTTATTGATACAAATACGTGATTTATAAATAATAAATTTCAACCAAGATTTATTATGTCAATTGTCACTGTCATCTGCAATCAGAATAATAAATAATTTTTCTCCAATTTAATGTAATAAAAAAATTTTTTCAATACATATTGGGTTATTATTAATGAATGAAAATTATCATAACCAGATATAGACGAACCGGAAAAATGGTGCTGCGACTACTTATCCTCATTATCGCATTATCAACTTCATCAGCCGAGCAGCGAAGACAATTATCAGCCGATGAAGAAAAGTGCAATGAAGAAAATCCTGGTTTACGAAATGGATTTTCCTGGATTGATTATTTAGTACTCGCAATAATGTTGTTAGTATCATGTTTAATTGGTACATTTTATGGTTTTTTTTCAAAAAAACAAAAAACAAGTAAGGACTTTTTACTCGGTGGTTCAAATATTGGTACAATACCAATGGCGATGTCTTTGGCGGCTAGTTTTATAACTGCCATTGAATTACTGGGGAATCCTGCTGAAATGTACAGTCATGTAATTATTCTTACTTTAATTTTACTTAATAGGGGAAATACGTGTACAGGCTTAAAAAAAATTTTTTTTTTTTATCAATCGCTTGTAAAACTATTCAAAAATATAGATTTAAAATTTCAAGTCAAAATTCCTATTCGTTCAAAAGTTATAAGCGATTTAGTAATTACTTTAATACTATTTTACATTAACTTTTTTTTCAACCGCGTTTTTCTCGAAACGAGTTTTTTCAAAACTGTGTGCAGTCTAACTCAAAGAGTTTTAAACCAATCATCTTGCGATATAGCTTATAATTTTCTTTATACAATTACCTTGAATATGAACCTCAATTGAAAGCGATATTTTTATTTAAACTATTTTTTTTTTAATAAACAATGTATGAAAAAGTGGTAAAAAATCACGACTTAATTTCACAGCCCTCTAAAGATGTAAATTTTTACTTTTTTTTTTAAATTGAGGTTCATATGGAAGATACACATATAAATGAAGTAATTTTTCTGTGCCATTGATTTCAAATAAAAAATTGTGGCTTCCATACTGCACAAAGACTGCTAAGTCAGATTACAACCTACGATGTGTATCAGCTGATATCTCCGCTATTTGTTAACTTATATTGTTGTTTAATACGAAAAAATACTCATAAATATATGTATAAAATAACCTGATAGTTTCAATAAATAATATTATTTTTTATACCTTGAAAAAATATGAAAATTAAGTTAGCCGACATTTAAAAATATTTAGAATTTTTTTTTATTGAAAAAATTATTACAAAAAAATTTTTTAAAAAATGTCACTTGTAAAAAACTTCAAAAACTATAAGTGAAATTTTTTAAGAATATTTTTTTGTTTTAATTTAATTATTAAAAAAAAAAAATCAAATAATTAAAAACGTCCGCTAATTTTAGTATCATTGAAAAAATTAATGAAAATCAGCATAAAAACGGCCTTCTACACGTATTTTCCCCCTTAATCCTGTTATAATTTTCAAATAAATTAATTCTAATATTGTTTAATAATTTTTCAGGGTACACAATTTTGGATGACTTGTGTTGCGTTCGTCCTTGTCGTACCAATAACATCAAAACTCTACTTGCCTGTGTTCATGAAATTGAGATTAACTTCGACGTATGAATACCTGAATTTGCGATTTAATCGCCACTGTAGATTATTTGCAAGTGGATTGTACATGTTACAAATGATTTTGTATTCATCGGTAGCAGTTTATGCGCCAGCATTAGCTTTAAGTCACGGTAAATAATTTAATTAGGGACATGACAGCATCAGTTACAATTACCTGATTAATTAAATCAACCTATGATTGATTTGTACTCAATAAAATAATTGTTATTTAATTTTTCAGTTACTGGCTTGGATACTTATCTTGCTGTGGCTCTAGTCTACGTAGTTTGTATCTTCTATGCATCACAAGTAAGTAGTCCCATTATTTTAAATTAAATTGTTGAACAATTGAATAATGTATTAATTAATCAAAAAAATACTGTTACGTTTAGGGTGGAATGAAGGCTGTTATAATGACAGATACTTTTCAAGGAATTGTCCTACTGATCTCCCTCTTTGTTGTCGTAAGCATGGGGATGACTTTACAGGGTGGAATATCTAAAGTCTGGCAGGATAATTTGGAAACAGACAGGATTGAATTTTTCAATCTTGATCCACGTCCTACTATTAGACACAGCTTCTGGAGTGTTGTCATCGGTGGTACATTCTACTGGGTGACTATGTTTTGTAGTAATCAAGCTTCCGTCCAAAAATACCTGAGTGTACAAAAAACTGGTCAAGTTAATACGTAAGTATTATTTTTCGTTTTTAATTAGTTACAATTATTTTATGATACTAAATTTAACAGATAGATAACAAATTTTTAGATTTTTATAACAATTAAATTATGGTGAAATAAATTTAGCAAAAATATTTCACATGTAGTTATTTTAAAAAATTATAAGTGCAAATTTTTAAAAATATTTTTTTTAATGAAAATTAATTTAGCTGATATTTAATCACTTTTAGATTTTTTTTTTGACAAATAAATTATGGCAATAATAAATGATTAGTTACAAAAATTCTACAAATTTTTAAAATAAAAATTTTCATTTGTAAATTTCTTCTTTGAAGTTTTTTTATGTTAGCTGTAAAAGTTGATCTTTAAAATTTTTTTACCACGTATGATTTTATAAAAAACTTTTATTTTATTTTTTACAGAGCACTTTGGGTATCGTCATTAGCACTAACTCTTATTTATAGTATTAATTTTCTCACCGGCATGATACTGTACAGTGCAAATAAAGGTTGCGATCCATTAAACGCTGGATACATTACCGGTCAGGATCAACTACTACCGCTTTATGTTATGAATTTTTTGGGTGATTATCCAGGAATACCTGGACTCTTTGTTGCTGGAATTTTTGCAGCTTCTCTTGGGTAATTATTCTCAATTGATAAATTATTTTAGTGGCTTGATTAATTTAACTTATTAATTTATATTAAAATTGAACAGTACCGTAGCAAGTGCTCTTAATTCACTGGCTGCAATAACATGTGAAGATATATTTCAAGGAATAATGAATATGCAAGTACCTGCGAAGAAAGGAGCTGCTTATGCAAGATGGATTAGTATTTTCTTTGGAATATTTAGTTTTGCATTTGTTTTTGTTGTTGAAAGACTAGGTGGAGTTTTAGAGGTAATTTTATTTGACTATAAATTTCATAAAATCATTTATAATTTATTGCAATCAATCGTGGCAAAAAATGATACTGATATTAACAGACATCTGTCAAATTTTTAGATTGTTATAACAACGAAATTATTATAAAAAAATTCAAATAAAACAATTCCATGTCTAAAAATTTAAAAGAATTACAAGTACAAATTTTTTTTTTTACAACTGAGTTGTAATAAAAATAAAAAAAATTTTCAGATATTAATTTCAGTATTATGGTAAAATTATAAGAATTTTTTTTCATTGAATCTCGGAAAAAATTTTAAAGTTATGAAAAAATTTATATTATTTTATTAAAATTATTATAAAATAAAAATTATAATATTTTTTTTTTTGTAACAAAAAATGGAGCAATCATTCTGGGGGTGCTTGTTTTTCAGGAAAATTGTGGGTGTAATACAATTATTATTATTAATTATTATAATTTTCATTTTATAATAATTTTAATGAAATAATATGAATTTTTTATAACTTTAAAATTTTTTCTGGGTCTATTTTTTCCGATTACCTTTTTCATCAGATTCTTAATTTGATATGACAGCACACCAATTTTATATTTTTTCTTTTTTATACATATAAAATTAACCATGTAATCAAAAAATGGAGCAATCATTCTGGGGGTGCTTGTTTTTCAGGAAAATTGTGGGTGTAATACAATTATTATTATTAATTATTATAATTTTCATTTTATAATAATTTTAATGAAATAATATGAATTTTTTATAACTTTAAAATTTTTTCTGGGTCTATTTTTTCCGATTACCTTTTTCATCAGATTCTTAATTTGATATGACAGCACACCAATTTTATATTTTTTCTTTTTTATACATATAAAATTAACCATGATTGATTGTATGTCATTGACAAAAAATTTCAAATGGCTTTTTGTGTAAATTATGATTGTTATTATTCTGATTGTAATTGCCAAAGGTTGCCTTGTCATTTAATGGTATGGTTGGTGGTGTCACACTCGGAATGTTTTCGTTGGGAATGTTTGTACCATGGGCAAATGCAAAAGGCGCATTAACTGGCGCAATTACCGCTTTTTTACTTGTGCTATGGATTGGTTTAGGCGCACAAATAGCAACTTTCAATGGCTTGATAAATGTTGAAAACAAAGAAGTATCTGTTGATTATTGTCCTTGTATCAATGAAACCCTTTACGATCAAAATATTAGTGACGATTATTATGAAAATAATGAAGTCTGGTCCCTATATAAAGTAAGTTTTAAATATAATTTATGAGTTTTTTTTTTTCTACATACTAAAATGTAATTTGTTTATCTAGATAAGTTATTTATGGTACAGCATGATTGGATGCTGCGTAACAGTATTGATTGGAAGTCTTGTCAGTTTTATGACAGAGCCCCAAGACGTTGCTGCATTGGATAAAAATTTACTGAGTCCAGTAACTAAATACTTTATCGGTAATTCACCTTCAACACCAATAAAAAATATATCATCAAACAATAATAATATTCAGGGTATTACTAATTTAGCCCTAGAATTGGAAGATGAAAAATTCAACCAAGCGGTTAACAAGAGTCCAAAATAGTCTGCTAGAAATTTTAAATCAAATTCCTGGCTCAGCATTATCATCTCAGGATTGTCAGGAACTTGTTGACTAAAAATTATTTCTACACATGAAGGTTTATAAAATAAGCATGACAAATTTTTAATCATCCAAATCATATATAATTATTTTATATATTATATATATATATATATATATATATATATAAGGTATAAGAAACAAAAATAGTATTTTATTTTTTAGATCTGTAATTTTAAGTTATTGTATTAAGATATAATCAACTTTGTACTTATAATAATTGTACATAGTTTTTAATTTAAGTGCAATGATGATGAATAAAACTTTTTGATATTTAAACTAATATAAAGAAAATTTTACTCTAATTATTAGTTAGGAGTAAATTTTATAATTTATAATACTTTACAAAATTAATAAATAATTATCACAAAGTGGATGAAAAAAATTTGAGTGGATCATAGAAAAATTTATGTACTTTTGGGGAACAAGTGAGCTTCCTAAAGTCCCGTAAGATGTCGCGTGATCGGAAAATTTTCTCACTAGAAGAAACTCATTTAAAAAATTTTAAATTCTATAGAAAATTTACGATCAACTATCATTTTAAAACAAAGCTGGAACGATTTAATTACATTTGAAAATGTTTGAAGTAATTTGTAACGACCGTTTGGGGAAGAAAGTTCGGGTTAAATGTAATCCGGACGATACGGTCGGAGATTTAAAAAAGCTAATTTCTGCACAAACGGGTACACACTGGGAGAAAATTATTTTGAAAAAGTGGTACAATATTTTTAAAGACCACATTACTCTTAGAGACTATGAAATTCATGATGGTATGAATATAGAGTTATATTACCAGTAACAGTTTAATAACTATTAGGATTTTCTACATGAGGATCTAGTATATTAAACTGATTTTTGTGACTGGCAAAATTGCCAAGAGGTGCCCTGGCATAGCAGTACTGCTAGGTGCATCTCACCAAATTAATCCAAACAAAATTTTCTTTAAGTAATCTTTCAGTTACAGGAATTTCAGGGGAAATATAAAATTTTCAACTCTAAGAAATTATAATTAAAATTTTTTTTAATTATTTTCTAGATCTAGATTTACTTTATTAAAAATGAAAAATTATCCAGTATTTGTTGATTTCAATGTCCTGAAAATTTACAACTTATAAAGTAACCGATGAACAAGTACAGTTTGACAGAAATTAGACGAGTTTTATTGATTATTTCATGAAAAACTAATTAATATGACAGAAGATTTTTTGAGATAAAAGTAATTAAAAATTCATGTTCATAAAATTTTTTTAACTTATCTCATTAGTATAAAAAATAATTCAGAGTGTGAAAATTAATTTAGTAGATATTTAATCATTTATAAGATAAAAGACCCAGTTATTGACACCTGCAATTTTATTTTAATTAAATAAAACAAATCGACTTTAATAAATTAAAAATATAATTTTTGAATTATAAATTTTAAGATAATTACTTTTTTGCGAACATTTTTTTTTTTTTTTTCATAGTTGTTTTTCAGTGACCGATTGTATACAATTAATTTTTTTTTTTATTTAGAATAAAATTGCAAGTGTCAATCAACTAGGCCAGTATCAATAAATGGGTCTTTTACCTTAGAATTTTTATAACAATTAAATTATGGAAAAAAAAGATAAGTAGGAATTTAAAATAATTAAAAATGTAATTTTTTACAAATAATTTCTCGAAACAAATTTATTTATTAAATAAATTTAAAAAGGGATCAAGTGACTGCTTCTTCGTAATTTAATCATTAATGCATTTCAATTATTTTTAATTACAGTCATAAATTTCTTTTAATTAACGTAATGTTATTAGTTATCTTTTTTTTTTAAACTTTGTATTCTTAATTTCTTTAAAATATAATATTTTTTAAAATTTATTTAAATTTTTACCGCTTTTTTTATCATTAGATGGTAATTAAAAACTTGGTAAAAAAGTAACCTATTTTCACGACTTTAAACCTATATCAAAAATGGTTTGTTGAGTGTTTATAAACAAAGAATATCAAATATCAAATGAATCACGTGTTCAGAATTTTTTCGGCTTTCTAGTTGATTAATATAATATCATTCATTGCATTGTCATAACGTTGGATATTATATATAAATATATTTAATAAAGTATTCTTTAATATAAAAAGTATTTAAACATGAACGAGTACGAAGAGTTATTAAAATGGTATCCACAACTAATATTGATATCTGAAAATCCAGTAACATTGCACGGTTTATTGAATATAAACAACAATTATCAGATAGAAATGAAACTAAAAGTGCCTAAATATCCATCATTGAAACATGCAACTGTTCACTTTGGTAAAAAAATATCATTGATGTATGGTACTGAATTTAGTGTAAAAATTAATGATTTATTGCGTAGTACAAATTCTATTATGTCGTTTTTAAATCAGTTACAAAAACTAATGGTAGGTAAAAAAATTATTTTTTATTTAATAAATAATTTATTTTTACCTATTACTATTATATTATAAATTATAAAATATATTTTTGTTTACCAGGAAACAATTATCAAAGAAAAGCACGTTGATACCATTGTCGATGCTGATTGGTTTGATAATTATAATTTAGAAGAATTAAAATCTGTTTTGCTAATTCCTGTAAGTTTAAAAATACAAAATAGTGTTAAATTAATATAATAATTTTTCTACTGTTATGATAAATATTGTTTTTAATATCTTACTTATTATAAATCATTTATTTTTTCAACAGGATGTAAATATTTATGCCAGCAGTGGCTTAGAAATAATTAAATTGACGTACAAAGATATTTCAATAAAATTGAAACAAACAAAATCGTACAACAATCCTTGGATTATTGTATCATCGGATTTACCTGAACAAAGAACTCTTCCAGCACTTGAAACATGCATATCAACATTGACTGAAGCTGCAGAGGCTCTTAAAACAAGAGTCGATTCATTGGAAAATATTTGGATTGATTTGAGAGATATTGATAAGTTAGTTTTATCAATTACTTTTTTTTTTAAATGATTTAAATGATTGATAAAAAAGTAACTAAATTTAATTTATTTACAGCAACTGTTGGGTGATTGATCCAGTGAAACCAAAGCCTTCTCATCTTTACCGAAGAATTTATATAAATCCAGCCTTATCACTTCTCATAACTCCAGATCCTTCTTCTTCTGAACGTTTGCAAGAAATAAAAGTACTTGGGAGTGATAATGAAGTTGCTAAATGTCAAAATACCATTACAGAAAATTTAGAAGTAATTTTATTTGATATATATTTTGTTGAAATTATTTATTTAGCTAAATATAAATTATGTGTAATTTTAAATACTTTTCACAGAATTGGTCTGGTGATAGATCAATCATTGAAAATCTGTTAGATTTACTAGATATTGACGAATTACCTCGTCCACCAGATGAAAATCGTCCAGTACAACCAAATGACGGTATTGTTGATGATCATGAATGCTGTATTTGTTTCTCGATGGAATCAGACAGCGGTGAAACACCATCAGAAGTTTGTAACAATGAAAAATGTCAACGTTATTTTCATTCTTCATGTCTTCTTCAGGTAAACAACTAACTAAATTTACGAAAAACAAATCGACGTTCTAATTAGCAAATTGTCAAACTCTATTTTAGAGAATCTTCCATTTGTACGAAAAAACAATTAGTTCAAAATTTATTATCACTTTAAAAAACAATTTAATATCTAATGAAGGTATAGTATTTTAGTTTGGATCATTCAAATATAATTTATAATTGGACTATTGCTACATCAAAATGTTAAAAAATCACTCTCTAAAAAATAAGGAGTTAGACCAATTGCTAATTAGACTGTCGAAATTCTTTGTCCAACTCAATAAGTTATAAAATATAAATAATTATTTATTTCCAGTGGTTACAAGTAGTAGCAGGGAATCAAATTTTCTTCGATCGTATTCATGGTTTTTGCCCAAACTGTAATACGAATATATCATGTGCGATCGTAAGTAACTAAATAATTCCCCGAGTACTATTTATTTATTTATTTAAAAACATGATAATTCACAAAATTATACTCTACGATCCATCTTTCAAGAGAAAGATTGAATTTTTCTGTACCACAAATCAAAACTAAAGAGCTGCTCGCCAAATAATTATCTAAAATACATTTACAAATTTTTTCATCAATTCTTCCTTTCTCAATATTAATGCCGTTGACTTTTTTACTAGCATCTGTAATAGAAAATTACTCGGTAACAAAATCATATAATTTTTATCTCACAAATTTTTACCTTCTGTTAAATAAAGATTACACTCAACATTCCAATAGTCAGTAAACAATTGTAAATTTTTAGTCAATGGTACCAGATCCACTGATCTGAACCCAGCATTTAAACAAACACGTGTTTCATCTTCCTCGTCGTCAATAATTGATTTAATAATTGGTACAAAAGCTGCTAAACCACTGCCAACGCTAAACATAACAATACTTTTAAATTTATTACGCGAGTACACAAAATCTCCGTACGGTCCTCGAACTTTAATCAGCTCACCACTCTCCAAATTTTTTAATCTCTTGGTATTGATACCGTCAGCGTAAATCCTAATTAAAAATTTAATAGTATCGTCGGTCCATGAAATTGGGGTGAATGGTTTCGACCACTTTAAATAATTTATCACAACATGTTGTCCAGGATTAAATATCACGCGTCCATCATTTATTTCTTTATCGCTATAACGCAGTATTAACGAAATATAGTCATTATTTAATTGTTTTAATTCATAAACTTTAAATAATTTGTACACTAAAGGCTCCAATAAATTATTTGACTTGCTATTTAATTTTTTCAACTCCCATTGTTTCAATAAATTTTTATGGACGTCAAATATACACGGGTTGCATGAATTACCGCAGCAGTCTTCTTCCTTTGGCGATTGAGGTCGGTTTGATAACATTTTTTACATATTTTACAATAACTATTTAGAGCAAAAAATATTATCTGTTTACAAATATCAAACAGCTGTTCGCACATGAAACATTGTATATATACATTACACTTTATATTATGTTATAAAAGATGATTATATTACTATAAAATGTAGAAAATATTTATTAAATAAATTTCATATTTTTATAACAATTAATTTAGTGCAAATTAATTTTATTTTAAGAAAAGTAATCAATAAAGTGAGAGAAATTCGAAAAAAACAATAAGGTTAAGTATCTTGTCACAAAAACAATCAATGACCTTGGCGATTCCGCTCATTTTTGTAATAATGTGTTGATTATAAATAATGACAGCGCAAAAAGATAATAATCGGAGACATAGAACAAAGAAAATTGCTACTTATCTTGTTAAATAGTAACAACATAAGTAATAATGAAATAAACAGTCAGTTGACAGATGTACGTCAGCAATATAACATCACAGATTTTATATATTTATACTTACAATTTTACATTATATTTATAAACTATTTATATTTATATTTGGCTATTGCACCTAATTACACGTGTAACCTGTACAGTTTGATACTTTTGTAAGTAAAATATTTTTACAAGTATTTAAAATGGATAACGAGTGTGTTCAATCAGTGAGAAGAGGATGGAAACGTTTTACGTTGATGGAACCACCAATATTTTTACTATTACTTGCCTATGGAATGACTGGTATTTAATAACTATTAAGGAGGAGCACCACTGTGACGATCGAAAAAAAGAGGTGATTTTCGGGAATTTTTTTGACAGGGAAAATAAAGGAATTTGGGAATTGGATTTTTTTTATTTTATTAATAAGGGTACATTAAAGATTATTACCCTAAATTTTTATTAAAAAATATTTAATTATTACAAAGTTATTAACAATCTCGTCAAGCACTAGAGAAAATTTCTCCCCTCCATGGTCGGTTCGATAACTTGAAAACAGAACGTCTGAAAATAAAAACCCAAATTGCTTTTTAATCAGTAAGGATGTAGTTGTCGTCGCACGTACGGAATTTGAAAAATTTTTATTTTAAAGATTTTTTTAGCCGTTTAGGATTAAAACAAAAAATAAAACAGTAAGAATAGTGAAAAAATTCTTAATCAGTCACCATTTTTAAAAAAATTAAAATTTTTGGGTTTTTAAAAATCCAGAAAATCACCTCTTTTTTTTCGATCGTCACAGTGGTGTTCCCCCTTAATTACTACATAAAAATCATAGATTAAAAATTTCTTATCTAAAGTGTTTTATTTTTTTCAGCCACTGTCTTCACTGATTTGATTGTCTACCAAACATGTAGACAAATGATGGGGGCAAATAAAAATAATTGTGATATTTTGCATACAAATAGTAGCAGCGATGAAGCAAAAGAATTAGATAAAATTGTTCAACCCCATGCAAGTTATCTAATCATGTGTAAATCTTTAATTGAAGGTATTGTACCGGCATTTTTAGTATTATTTTTGGGGCCTTGGAGTGACACTAACGGCCGAAAGCCGCTTTTAATTATGGGATACTTTGGTAAATTATTTGTTTATATTGAAATGAAACTAAATAAAATCGAAATTTACAAGTTGATTAAAATGCAAAATTTTTTTTACAGCTCCGGTGTGTAAATACACAATATTAACAATTATAAGCCATCGAGATTTGAATCCATGGATGTACTTATTAGCATCAATACCGTCATCGTTAATGGGCGGAATTTCAGTCCTTTTACTGTCAACATTTTGCTATGTGTCTGACATATCAGAGCCTGATAAACGTGCCTGGTACTTGGCATGTTTAGAATCTTGCCTTGCAGCGGGTCTGGTTATTGGCACACTTATTGGCCCATTGATCTTCCAAACGTCCGGATACGGTAGTTTATTCCTCATCGCTACTTTTCTTAGCATAATATCATTTTTTTATATTTTATTTTTCGTTCCTGAATCTGTGAGGAAAGAATCCAATGTAAGTCTTATTTATTATTGAACTCTTAATAAAAAAAAAAAAAAAGTATTGAGACAGAGAAAAAAGTATTGCATTGACTAGAAAACCAATTCTTTTCAATACTTTTTTCTTTGTCTCAATACTTTTTTTTTAATCAGGGAATTTTGTATCAACGATTTATAATTTTATTTTATTTTATTTTATGCTTACAGAAATGGGGAAATCCATTTAATTTTTCTCTAGTCAAACAATTGGTATTAACATGTACCAAAAAACGACCAGGTTTGAATCGCGGATTACTTTGGGGTTGTCTGTTAGTTTTATCATCACTCGTTATAATTTTTGATGGTACGACGAATATTGAGTATTTGTTTGTTAATGCCAGGCTTGGTTGGAATACTGTTCAGTTTAGCATTTATAGCAGCTTATCTATGACATTAGTAATCTTTGGAACAATCGTTGGTCTGAAAGTAATGAAAAATTTCATGGGTAACTCATCATTGATATTTCTTCTTTTCATAGCTATGAATATTGAAGATAATTAAAAAGACATATAATAATTAAGTAAAAATTAATTTGACTTAAATTTTAGGTCTTACGGACACCACTGAAGCGTTAATCGGAAGTTTATCTGGCTTCGCTGCAACCATTACTTACTCTTTGACTTCAAAACCCTGGCACATGTGGCTTGGAACTAGTTTAGGAATATTTACTGGCATTATTTCACCCACCACACGATCTTTATTGTCTAAATCTGCTCCTGTTGACGACTTGGGTAAAATAAAATTAAAATTATTATGTTCATTATTAATGAAATATTTCAAAGGTATCAATAAAATGTTTTTTTTTTTTTTTTTTTTTTTTTTTTTTAACTAGGCAAAGTATTTTCACTTGTTACGTTTATGGAAGCGTTATTGCCATTAGGAGGAGCGTCATTATACAGCTTGATGTATTCTTTATACATGTCAGTATATCCATTACCAGCGTATCTCTTGTCAGCTGGAATATACTTTTTAATGATAATTATTATTATAATAATGGATCGAAAAATTGACATACATGAATCGCCTTATCAGACAGCAATTCAAGAAGACTGAACTTTGAAAGAAAAAAAAAAAAACTCAGCATAATATTACTCATTTATTAATTTTATTTTTTCAAATAACATAGATTATTTTTTAGTTAATTAATACTTCAGTTACTTGATATTTGTTATTCGTACAAGTTATTTAATAACAAACCTGTGATATGATATCTATAAATTTCGATTGTATTTTTATAATAAATAACACGATAATATAGAAAATAATTAAATTAATCAATCTTCGATATTTAAAAAAATTATGATGCGCTGAAGACTAGCGTCACTTCATGACTCATTCTCATCAGTATTATACTTTTTTGTTGTAAACGTACTTCATGATAGTTATCAACTATTAACTACAATAATGCGAAAAGTCATAATAATCATAGATAGAGTTATGAAAATTGCTCGTTATCTTTCCGTACAATAATGATGATACAAATCCTACTATGACTATACTTCAATGGTTATAAAAGAGTTGTTAACAAAGCTTCAAGCCATAAATCAGCATCGTTGATAATAAATAAAATATTTTTATTATTCAATGATTTAATTTAACTCATTTACATGTAATTTTTTATAATAAATTTTCTAAATAATTCAACAATGGAAACCGAGGATACAATTTCACCAACACCTCAATGGAGGCGATATATTTTTATAGAATTACCAGTATTTTTTTGTATGTTTGCAAGTGGAATGACAGGTAAAATAAATTATTATCAATAATGATTATAAATATAGAGATTAAAATTTATTATTATTTGCAGGTACCGTTTTCACTGATTTAATTATTTTTCAATCGTGCAAAGAAGTAACAGGAAGAAATAATAATAGTTGTGATATTTATCATGTAAATAGTAGCAGCAAAGAAGCTCAAGAATTAAACAATATCGTTCAGCCGTATGCAAGCAACGTAATAATGTGCAGATCATTAATTGAAAGTATCTTATCTGCATTTTTAATATTGTTTTTAGGACCTTGGAGTGATAAATTCGGTCGAAAACCGCTAATGATAAGTGCTTGCATCGGTAATTTGTTTGTTTTTACTACGATTAATTTATACTAAAATATAACAAAGAAAATTTTTTGTAGTTCTAATATGCAAATATGTAATTTTATCTGTGCTGAGTAATTTTGATGAAAATCCATGGATGTTTTTGATCGCCTCAGTACCCTACGGTCTTCTTGGTAACAGTCTCTTATTAACGACTTTTTGTTACATTGCCGATTCTACAGAACCCGATAAACGTGCATGGTCTCTAGCTTGCTTGCAAACATGCGTCACCATAGGAATAGTAATTGGTACTTTTACCGGTCCCTGGATCTTCAAACAACTCGGTTATACATTTGTCTTCGCTATCGCTGCAGTATTTTGTGCATTTGCGCTAGTTTATATAATTTTTTTGATATCTGAGACTGTTGAAAATGAATTTAACGTGAGTGTAATTATATAAATATACATTTTAAATATTTAAAAGAATTTGTTAAAAATATTAATTTGTTTTTTTTTTTTAGGAAAAATGGGGAAATCCATTTAATATGCCATTGATTAAAGAATTATTCTCGATATGCTTCGAAAGACGCGATGGATTCAATCGTGGAATGTTATGGTGTTGTCTGGCGGTTTTGACATTATTTACGATGGTAGTTAATGGAAACTCGAATATAAGTTATTTATTTGCGAATGCCAAACTCGGATGGGATATTGAGGACTTTTCAATTTTCAGTGGACTATCTATAGTATTATCAACGATCGGAACATTTGGTGGTCTCAAATTCATGAAAAATTGTTTAGGTAATTGAAATTTTTGTGAATAATTATAAGCTAAAAAATTTTTTTTCAAATTAAAAATCACTAATTTTTATTTAAAATTTTATTTTAGGAATGGCGGATATTAAAGTAGCAATAGTGGGTTGTATATCTGGTTTTTCAGCAACTTTATTAGGATCTTTAA